TAGGATCGCCCTCTGGGCGTGAGGTTAGGAGTCTGGAGTTTTAAAGCCCCTCGGATGATTCAAACCCTCAGCCAGGTTTATGAACCATTACACCCCTGTATGTGAAATAGTGCAGGGCCCTCAACATGTATGTCCTTAAATCATCAGTGGTATTGTTCTCCAAACAAGAAGGGCATTTTGCTCTGGTTTACATGTCATTTTCTGGACATAATCTACATGATCTGTACAGCTTTTGTGTTTTGTTAAATGAAGAATTTTTCAGATCCGTTTTCCGTATAGTCTTTGTCATGTGTACTCCCGAGGAGCTGGATGACAGGCAAGAAAGCATCTTCTCCAGCACATCCCTTTGAATGGAACCTGGGCGCTTGCTGGCCCCTCAGTGAAACATGAAGTGTGCCTTTGACTGTCAAAGCCCACAGTCCAGAAGCCTGTGTCGCTGGCCCTCTGCAGGGCGCAGCCGCCCCAGCTCTCCTGGCCGGCCCTGCTCCACCCAGCTTTCTGCCTCGTTCATCATGCCAGCACTATCATCTGAGGTGATTGGTCACCTATTCTATTTAGCAGCAAACCTTCCTCTGACTTGCAATATGCAAATATCATTCATCAGATGCTGGGCCTGCAGCTGTTGCCCTTTTGAGGCCCCAGCTGATTTCACTTGGCTGAAGATGCCTTAGTGTGAAGGCTTAGAGTGGAGTCTTGAGTTACCACACTGATCCAGCGTTTAGGTCTACGTTGTGCCCTATATGAAATACACGAGGAAATGGAGGCCGTTTTAATTAGGCCAGTAGAGCCTGATCCACATTTTTTGAAGTTAAAGTTTAAATTTGGAGTAAGGGTACATAATTTTTTATAATGCCTGTCATCTCAACACAAGGGCCTCTGTTATGAAGGGATTATAAAGATTTGGTATCATGGGAGTGCTGTTTCATGTTGTGTGAGCAAATAGATGTAACAGTGTTAATTTGCCTTAGAGTGAAGAGGTTTTAGGGACACCTTTGTGTGTTTGTGTGGCTGTGGGGGTGGGAGGACGTGACTTTACCGTTCTTTAATCACCTGGTATTAATGCCTCTAAGATAGTCATAAGAAAAGCTAATTACTTTTATATCATAGTAAGTTTTCGGGATTTTGAAAAGTTGGTTTCCCCTAGTAGCTACTGCATCATTGAGATCATTACGTCCAGGAAAGGAGAGGGGAAGTGCTAAATACACGGCAGTAGGGGCTTCAATAAATACGTGTCCATTGATTACCTGTCTCCTTATTACTTGATGCTAGTTTCTTCCACTAGGGAGAAAAAACAATAACAACCTAAAAAAAACATAAAAAAACCCTTGGAAATCCAGTTACTTCTTTTTCCTTCCTCCCACTCCTTTCCATTCTTTTCCTCCTCCCTCTCTCCCTTTCTTTCTTATATTATTCATTTCTTTAGGTATTTATTGGGTACCTTTTTATAAAATATTTTATTTATTTTATTTTTAGAGAGAAAGGAAGGAGAAAGTGAGGGAGAGAAACATCAGTGTGTGGTTGCCTCTCAAGTTCCCCCTACTGGGAACCTGGCCCACAACCCAGTCATGTGCCCTGACTGGGAATCGATCCAGCAACCTTTTGGTTCACAGGCTAACGCTCAATCCACTGAGCCATACCAGTCACTACTGTTGAGTGCCTTTTATGGAACTGTTACAGACCAAGAATTTATCAGTCAATCGATTCCTTGCCTTTATGGATTTTACTTATAAGCATGAGAGAGAGAGAGGGAGAGGGAAGGGTGGGAAAGAGGGAGGGAGGGAGGAAGGGGAAAAGAGGAGAAGAGAAAAAAGAGAAGAAAAGAAATACACAGACCAGCTTATAGGCATTTGCAAGTCATAGGAAGTATCTTGGATTTTATTCTAAGTTTGATAGTGTTATGGGAGAAACTCCCAGAAACTGAGTTCTTCTCACCGATGCAGTAAAGAATTACAGGCCAGCGAGCCTACTAGCATGCACGCAAAGTTCATTAGCACTAAGTTCTAATAGGAAAGCAAAGCAAAGGTGCTAGAGTAGGATGGCCAGAGGCTGGATGGCCAGCACCCTGATGGCCAGAGGCAAGGTGGCTAGAAGCCAGGTGGCCAAAAAGGGTGGCCAGGGTCCCCACCACTGGCCAGAGGCTGGCTGGCTAGGGGTCTTCTGTGGGGCAAGAGAGCCATGAGGCCAAGAGAAAAGGCCAGGAGAGGAGGTCAAGAGAGAGTCATTTGATATGAGGACTTAATATATTTGGGGTGGGGGTGAAGAAGTAAAGGTGGTGCCAGCTTCCCCAGGGAGATGTGACTACCCAAACGTAGGTGTGGGTGGGGGTCTGTTAGCCCGAATCCTTCTCTTGCTGTACAAGTCTGTGTGTTCATTTTGCATAGGTGATGAGAGGCAGGCAATTGACCAAAGTTGTTTTATGGTTTTTTTCTTTGGGCACTGCAGACTCCCTCCCTGCTCCCTTCCAGACCTCGGGGTAAATACACAGTCTCAAGGTTTTCCTTTTTCCAGCCAGTGGAAGTGATATACACTTTCAAGAGCTCCCCCGCCCAACACTATCATAGTTTCACTTGTTGTTCCGGACGCTTGGCAGCCTTATCGGACCAGGGTCAGGATGACTGGGTCATCGTGTGAGCTTTTGCGTCCAGCCTCCTGTGTTAAATTCTTTGTTATAGTGTAATGTTGAGGGCCCTGCCTTATTTCCCCTCTGGCCACTCATTCCACCCTAACAACAGGAGGCTATTAGCTGGTTAAGAAAAGAGAATGACAGGATGTGATTTATCTTTCTTTATAATATATTTTATTGATTATGCTATTACAATTGCCCAATTTTCCTCTTTTGCCCCCTTCCATGAGGTACTCCCCATTCCCTCTAGCAGTCCCCCCTTAATTCACGTCTGTAGGCCATGCACGGAAGTTCTTTGGCTACTCCATTTTCTATACTGTTCTTAACATCCTCTTGTCTATTTTTTCGCCCTCTATTTTTTATTGTTCTTCAAGTACCATTATCTCTGTTTCCCCCTCACCACTCCCACCCACCCAGCCATCCCCACCTCCCACCCTCAATCCTATCCCCCTTTGGCTTTAGCCATGTGTCCTCTATGCATGTTCCGTGACAACCCTCCCCACTTTTCCCTCTGGAATCCCCTCCCCCTCCCCCTGGTTACTGTCAGTTTGTTCTTAATTTCAATGTCTCTGGTTATATTTTGCTTATTTGTTCTGTTGATTAGGTTCCACTTATAGGTGAGATCATACGGTATTTGTCTTTCACCACCTGGCTTATTTCACTTAGCATAATGCTCTCCAGAGGATGTGATTTATCTTTTAAAAGGCTATGTGGTGAGGTGACTAGTCAGGAGGGGAGAGATGTTGGTGGCTTAGCAGTGGTAGTGGCAAGAAAGAATTATATTTCAAATCTGGAGCATAAAATTTGCTGACAGATGGTTATAGAGTATGAAAAACAATGGGGTCAAAAATAACACCTAGATCTTTGGCCTGAGTGAACCACTGAAAGTAGTAGTTACTTACTGAGATGGGAAAGGCTTGGAGAAAAGCAGGTTCAGAGTGGAAGGCTGGAGAATGAAGAGGACATGTAATGTTTAGTTACCTGTTAGACACTCAAATGGAGATGTTACCTTTGCCGTTGGAAACACATGTCTAGAGTTACAGGCAGGAGGCAGGATAACATGTAAGTGTGGAGTCAGTAATCTATAAATTACTGCAGATTAAGGCTCTCGGAGTGTGTGGGTGAAGAGAAGAGTCTATTGTTTAGACTTAGGGTAATCTAACATTTAGGACTCAAGAAGAGTCAGGGACCCTACAAAGGAACCCGAGAGAGAGAAAAGAGTATTTCACAAAGGTCAACTATATCAAATGCTCATGAGCAGCCAAGAAAAGAATTTACCACTGGATTTAACAATGGGGAGGAGGGCCCTGGGATTAGCAGAGTGGTGGGAACCAGAATCTGATCTGAGAGAGTTCAAGTGAGAATGGCACTAAGGAAGCAGTCACCGATGTATCGGGTATGGCTCTTTGAGTTGTGTTGCTGCTGACAGGGGCAGAGCACAGGAGAATTAGAGGGAGGAGATAGGATGTCAAGGGAGGTTGTTATTTTTCGGTTTGCTTAATAAAGTTTATCCTTTGTGGAAAAAAAAAAAAAGAAGAACAAGAACAAGAAGAAGGAAGATTATATGGGCTCCAATGCTAGTAGCCTGGCAGACTTGGTGGTAGGAGAATGAAGTTCTCCTTTGATTGTGTTTTGTACTCAGAAATAAGACACAAAATCAGGAGCTGAGAGTAAGAGTGAGGGGAGGCGGGGGGAAGTATATTATAAGTTAGAGAAACAATATAAAGATGTGAAACAATCAATTTGGAAATATATGTTGCCTAGGATTTGAAATATTTTTAGACTGAGATAACAGCATAATCTCAGGAATACCAAGTATTCATGTGGATGTTTTACTGAAAGAAACCACAATAGGATTAGTCCAGGCTGAGAATCACTAAGTGTAGCCTGGGTGCTTTCTCTGATTTGTTCAGGGAAAATATAAAAGTCTTTTGATAAATTCCAATTAAAAAATTTTTTAATAGCTAATATATTTACCTGGTTCAAAATGCAAAAGGAATTAATATACAAATAGTGAAGAGTACTCTTCCCTTAGCCTCTGACCGCATACTCCTTCCAGTAGAGTCTGTCAGTAATAACACTTTCTTGTGTCTCCTTCCACAGACACTTTATTGATACATTTTTTAAAAACTAAATATGTGCTAGCATTTTAAACATTATCCTTACCGCACTTAAATAAGTCAGTTTTAAATGTTACTAATATTTTTATCCTCTTTAATTTATACAAAAATAATGTATAAAAAGAGCAAGAAAGTGCATCTGTTCTAATACTGGTTCCATAATGGCAGCAGCCATCTGGCAGGAGTTGTATCTGTTTGGTTTTCCATGGTGAACATGTGTATGTAACAAGCTTCTCTTTTCTTCTTTGTCTTCGCAGCTGATCTAGCATCTTTAATGGATAAGACATATGAGAGAAAGTTGCCGGTTAGTTCTTTAACAATAGCACGGGTAAGAAAACTTAAATATATGTATTTTAAAAGAAGAAGGTGGGAGAAAACAAGAAAGATTCTTTATATAGATGAGGCTGTGAAAGTAAAGAATATCTTTCATAGGAAATATTTTTCCAAAGCATGGTATGTTTTTGTAGTTACTAATAGATATTTTATGATGAAGTAGCAAATTTCTTTGACTGAAATAAAAGCTGATTTACCAGATTCTGATGTCAGTGATCATTGTTACATATCTGATTTATTTTAAGTTTTCCGGGATATGGTATTCTGTCATATAATATCATGATTTTTTTTGGCTTATACACCCTTTAGAGGAGTCATATTTATTTGTTAATATTGGGAGTTATTTTTGGCTGAGAAAGTCTTTAAAAGAATGTGTGTTAATGCAGAGCAATGGAATAGAGAATGATATTAGGCTAGGGATCAGGAACAGTAAGTGATAGTAACCATTGCTGAACACCTTCTATGCCATCTATTGTACCAGTTTCTTAACATACATTATCTCATATGTTAATTTTTACAGTGCCGTAGGTGATAGCATTATTATCTCCTTTTACATACAAGACTCAGAGTGATTGATACATTTCTCAAGTTCACCATGGTCCTAAGTGGAAAAATTGGGATTCAAACCCAGGTCTCTGTGACATTGAAGTTTTTTCCCCTCAAATAATACCTGAGGTTGTATTTATCACGAATTAACTTTGTGACATTGGGCAGTTGGGCCCCTCTCACTTTCTCCATTTCCAAAATGAGGACAGTAGTAATCTCCCTTGCAGGGCTGATGCAACACTAAAAGGAGATCTTAGTTGTGAAAGCTCTTTGTAGGAATTAATAGCACCATAAAATTCAATGTTATTGTTAAATCTAGAAGAGGAAAAGGAAAGAAACGATTGTTTTTAGTTTGGATTCTTTCTATTTCCTGATATTCTCCCTTTAGTAGGGGAAGAGGTTAACTACGTCATAACTTAACTTTTATGGACTCAAAATGTTCACATTGAAGGGGAACGGAAAGACCATCAGTTCCTCCCTTACATGATGGATAAAATCTCTGTTGTCATAATACCTGATACTGGTTTAGGCAGCTCTGCAGAATTGAGAAAGCTTTCATACACATTTTCTCATTGGAGCCTCAGACCGCTGAGGCAGGTGCCTTTATTCTGTCTGTGCAGATGGAGCAACTAAGTTCCAGAGGGGCTGTGCCATCTGTTTAGGCCACACAGCGAGCCATCAGGAGAGCTAGTCCTCAACTTCAGGTGCCTGTGTTTGCACCATATTTATCCTCCCTTTAATGAGATTTCTCAAACAAGTAAGTCGGAGGCATTTTTAGAAAGTCTGCCCCTTTTTACTCTCCTCTCCCTCTTTATGAGGTTTTAATTCTATTTACCACATGCATTACCTTCTAAATCCATCTTTCTGAGTCTACTTTAGGGTAGAATCTATCCTTGGAATAGCTCTTTGTGTTTGCTTGTTTGGTTTAGCACTAAGGAGCACACTCACAGATTTTATGGTTCAAAGGGAGACTTAGTTCGTTGACTGGTCCATAGCAGAACCTAAGTGAGAGTAAGAAAAATGGTTCCAAGATTGAGTTCTCTAATTTAGATTTTCATCTCTTGAGCCGTATTTTTTAGCCATTAGAGTTTTCAACCTTTCAGATACAAGTTTTCGACCTTTCAGATACATCTTTTCATGACCAAAGTTGCTCTATACGAAGAAAAAAATAAACCACTGGGTGTTTTTTGTTTGGATTAGCACAAAGAGATTTCGAGGATGGAGTCATACCATGTGAACCTTGTTCCAGTAGAATAGGTGTTAAGATTATTGTGTGAATTAGGCCCAATATATGGCATAATTTGTATTCAACCAAAGGTTTCTTTTTTTGTCTTTTAGTTTGTGGACAACATTTCATCTCGAGAAGAGATAGATCATGCAGAGTATTACTTGTACAAGTAAGTTTGCCATTTCACTGGGCTATGTACCCTCCTATTTCACACCTCCTTTTAACACAAAAGGTGGTATGTATTATATATAATTTTCAACACCTGGCTTTTTAAGTATATGTTTTGGAAATTTTTCCCTATATGTATATAGAGAGCTTCCTCATTTTTTATATCTACATAATATTCCATACCATGAATATAGTATTTAAATCAGTCCCCTGTTGATGGGTCTTTAGTTGTTTGCTCTCTCTTTTCATATTATAAACAATGTAGTAATTAATAACCTTATACATATGTAATTTTGCACATAAGTCTCATAAGTACTTATGTCTGTAATTTCAGTAACTGTTTCCAAATTGCTTTATTTTGAGGTTTTAACCAGTTTACGCTCTCACCGGCAGTATATAAGGGAGGCCCGTTTTTACAGCACAGCCAATAGGAGTCACACTTTTGGATTTTTTTTGATAATCTGATAGATGAAAAACTATATATTTATCTCTTCTTTTTTATTCAGAGGTAAATATACTCTATATGTACTCCTTGGCACCTGTTATTAATTAATACTGTATTTAAAATGTTTCTGTACTACAAGTTACTTCATTCTTTCTCTCAGCTGTGAGCAGCCCTACTGTGAACTGCACAAGATACACCCACCCATGTGCACAAGAAGCATGTTCAGTACAGCATGTTCACTACAGCAGCAAAAGCCTGGGATAACCTCAGACTCTTTAAGTGACTGGCCAAATAAATTATGGCTTATCCTTATAGTTGATATTCCACCTATCAAATACCTGTCTAAATGGTACCTTACAACTAACTTTTTATTGTGTTTCCTTATTGTGATTTTAAAAATCTAATGTATGATTTGTCCCAATTCCTTGGTTCCACAAATAGCCTCAGGTTGAAATTTAAAGTGTTTCCAGTAAGCATTGCATTAGAATTTCCCATTTGATCCTACTTTGTTTTGATCAAGAAAGTTTCAATTATGTCCATCTGGGTGCATTTTTAAAAGCTTTTTTTATATTAGTGAAAACTTACTCAATTTTCTTTTATTTCATTTTCAAAATAGTAATGAGACTTTTTTCCCTGTCTGAATTGGGTGAATTCTACCACCTTTTTGCTGTTTTCAGTTTAAATATACATGTCAAGTAGATTAGATTCCATGCTGTAAAGAAACCTTTATTTTAAATCTAAGGTTGCCTTTAACAGTGTCTTAAGTTTAAATTCTAGGTCCTGAAGTTGTAACTGTAAGTGCCCTCCTACACTTCATTAAGATAAACATGAAAGGATCCTTTGATGAGAGCAAGCCTTGACTTCCTTCAGTGGTTCTTTGGCTTTGGTGGGCTCCTTTGATAGTTATTTTTGCCTGTGGCAAAAGGTGTATTTGGACTGGCATCTGCCCAATTCTCATTCTTTTGCTTTATTTACGGTAAATGCAGAAAATAGTTTGAACATCCAAGTAGAAACTATTTCATAGAATTCTGTCCTGTGGGACACAGTGCCACAGTCTTGGAAGAAATGAGTACCAGTTTTCTTCTGTCCCAAAGTACCTCTGTAACATATCATTGGTTTCAGTGGTTCAGCATTCAGCACGTGTTCACTGAGCAGCTAGTGGGTGCCCAGCCTCTGTCCGAAGTGCTGGGCATACCGTGATGAGTAAGTGATGAATTAAGTGCTAACTGAGAAATGTAAGTCCTACCCCTAAGGTCTTCTGTAAGTAAATCTTCACATGATGTCCAGTTTCATATGGCCCAGAGTCTTACTGAAAGTTCCACAAAATCTCTATTTCCTATTTTCGTGTAGATCATACAAAAGACTTTTGTCCATCTTAAATCTGAGCCTCTGTTTAATTTGTCACCCTGTCCTTTGCTTAATTAGAACTAATGTTTTAACTATGGCATCACTTTTTTATTCCTATTCTTTCTTCTCCTTCCATTAAAGAAAATTAGCTCTCTTTTCCTCAGCATATTTTTTAAAGAAAGAAGTATTTTTATGACTTCTTAAGATGAATATGATACATATATAAGACTAAGTATAACTCCATAAAGCTGCATACAGATGTAGATAATGGAGGTTGGCTAGATTCACTCATTAGCTAAGAGTCTCACTCCTGCTTTCCAAGCTCAGAGAATAAATACAAAACACAGTAATGCCTCAGCAAAATGAAAAGTCACAGTTGTGAACTCTTGGGGTTTACCTCCATTAGTTGCAATCAGGAGGGTTAATCCTGAAGACACTGAGGGCCTGTGGTATTTCTACCTGCTAGGTCTTCGGCATGCCATGGTTGCAATGCCAGTGTCTCTACATGGGATGGCTTTACACATCTCAGCATCAGCTTACAATCACAGGTCTAGAATGAGGAAATATAGAGGCTCTTTCTTAATCCTACAACTAGCCGCTTTTTGCTGATTTGCCTTGAGGATTTCTCATTCCCCAGCCAGTACCAGCCTGAGGGTAAGGCCAGCAGCAGGACTTCGGGCTGCCACCTCTGCCATTAGCTCAACTCTTTCCCGCCTCAGCCTGTGGAGATTAGACACTGCACGTCCAGTGTAGCTGCGACAAGGTCGTGTCTTCTAGTGATCAAATCTCCCCAGTGATTATGTAAAGAGCATTAGAGCCGAAGAGGTGTGGACACCTTGAGTGATCCTTGGAGAGCGGATTGTGCCTCTGCCATTGTATCAGGTGCTCAGGTAAGCAGTTCCAGGTTCCAGCAGTTCAGGATGCTGCTGACATGTGCCAGGTTGTTATCATGCTGTCATCCCAGGAGAGCTTTCAGCCTTTGAATCCCCTGAAATCTGAAGGTTTAAAAGTGTGGGGGCTTCAATATTTAACAGTCCCAGGGATCTTGTAAGGAGAGCTGGAAAGGCTGCTTTTCAGACCGCAGGAGGGAGAACAAATATGTAGCCACCTGTTTGGGCCGTTCTGTGCGCTGCTGGCTGGAGCCCACTGCCCTTTGATCCACTCCGTCCTGCTGCTTCTGAGTAAAGCTTGGAAACTCCAAGAAAAGGGAAATGACCCTTTAAAAGAAAAAAGATTTTATTTATTTATTTTTAAAGAAGGTAGGGAGGACGAGAGAGAGAGAGAGAGAGAAACAGAAACATCAATGTGCGGTTGCTGGGGGCTGTGGCCTGCAACCCAGGCATGTGCCCTGACTGGGAATCGAGCCTGCAACACTTGGATTCGCAGCCCGCATTCAATCCACTGAGCTATGCCAGCCAGGTGGAAATGATCCTTTAAACAAAAGAATAATGTGAACTAAAGATGATTAAGGCAGTTAATACCAGAAACTATATAGGTTGGCAATTTAAAAAAATCCTGTTAATACTCTACATAGTCTAAAGGGAAAATAAACCAAGAGTAAAAATGATTAAAACTGTAAAAAGGCCAAATGGAAATAAAATAAACAAAATGTGAAAGCTAAGAGACAAGAAGGCAAGGCATGCTAAGAACTGTTAGGCTGCAACAAAATACAGAACATGATTAAAATAAGAAAATAAAAACATAGTAAATAAATAAAACAAGATAAGAAGGACCCGATCCAGGAACTTCATACAATATGTGTAGACGTGGCTAGGCGGGTGGGAAAACAGACCAAGAAGGAAACAGGGAGAGTGAGCCTGAAGGGCTTGTATGGGACCAGAGCAGGACGAGAGCACCGTAGGGCCGGAGGGAACTGAAGGGAGGGGCTAAGAGGAAATCCCATGTATCTCGTTGTTTGTCTTCTAAGAACCATCATCTTAGCTTCTCCCTCCACAAAATATCCCCTTTTGGGATCGGTCAGCTTGAGGCTGTGTTATTTTATAGTGAGCTTATCTAGAGTATCCCTGTATCATTTTGTGGAATCACTGTTCTGGGCCACTTACTTGATCGTACTGAGCTCAGCACCTCCCAAGCCCATGTGTGCAGAGAAGTGAGCCCCGAGGCAGGCTCTGTGTCTCCCTTTTTAGGAGATAAAACTGCATGTAAAATTGTAGCATCAGTAAAATCCACTATTTCCATGATTATAACAAGCTTTAACAGACTCTTATAAATAAGAGTATTTGATTATTGCATTAATAGAATGCAAACTCAAGCCATAAAAATTCCGTCTTTCCTTGTGGTATCCTCCTCTTCACCAAGGATGTTTGCAAATTACATTGTGAAAGGCTTATTTAGACTTTCAAATCATATTGGGACCACGGTAGTTGAGAGATACATGAAATTAAACATGTTCCTTTTCCTATCAGAGCATCAACAATCAGAACTGGTAGTTTAGTCTGTATCATAATAGTCATTCCGAAAGGATAAGTGATAGAAATCTCTAACGTATGTAGCATATTCTATCTTAAGAATATAACATTTTTTTAAAAGTGGGCTTTTGGTTTTTAGCTGAATTAACTGTCATGCAGTAAAAAAAGATTGTTGCCGAGCTCCATAGGAAGGTTTCTCTTCCTCAGAATACAGTTCTGTGTTGTCATGGAGAGTGGCATGCCACCCATTAATGAGAGGAAGTCAAGGTTGCTTTGCAGGCTGTGTGCTGCCAATACATTCATCCAGGCTGTGCCTTGGCCTCGGGCATCTTTCATCAGTTGTTCACCTGACCTGGCAGCTACGAGGCGTCCCTGGTTGGAGACGGATGGCAGGTCAGGAACAGCTGGGGTGAGGCAGATGGCGGCCTGCGTGTCTCCAGGTCCCAGTTGGCAGCAAGCCTAAAAAGGAAGAACCAAAATAACTTCACTTTAAACAAGCAAAAATATTCTGATGCTTCCTTGGAAGGTGAGCATACTACCCTAAGGGCCTATATTGTAAGAATGCACGTCTGCTTGTAGAGAGAGGGGAGTAAGGGGTTTACTGGGACAAAACAGCATTCATGAGTTGAAGCAGTAGTAGTTTTCCTTTGAGGGCATCGAGATTGTTTGTGTGTTACAGCAATGAGAGGAAGTTAAAGTTTTTTCTGTTAGCATATTGCCAGCTCTCATTATGTTTGAACATTATTGGGAAACGAGTAAGAGTCTAAGGGGAGTTAAATG